CACAATGTTATCCTTGCTTAGTTATGAAGGTGTAGATCTTGTATTTTAATCAATAATTAATCTTCTGTTGACAAAACAATAGCATTTTTTTATTTAAATCCATTGTTTACAAGAAAAAGCCATGTATTGCACGGAAACTTTCCGACAAAAAGAAATCTGTTGAAAAACTCAAATTCCTTAAGAAAAAGTGATCAAGAAAAAGTTTACTAGAAATTTAACGTTGGTTGTTGAAAAGTTGATGAAATTTTTCCGAGAGATTTTTCAACAAGCATATGTTGTTGAAATGATAATTTTTTTAACTAAAACTAATTTTCTGACGGACTTTTATTCTCCATAGTTTTTAAAGATATTATAACTTGAAAGACTGATTTGTACAATGCACCTCATATTACAATTTTTGTACTTTGCACCCTAATAAGGTAAATGGTCAAAAGGTGTTGAGTGTAAAATGTAAAATTTATAATTATGGGGTGCATTATGCAAATCACCATAACTTGAAACGGGATAAATTGCACTTTTGGTCCCCTCTAGTTTTATTCAAATCCCATTTTGGTCTCCATATTTAAGTTCTAAGATTTTAGAAGTACAAGATGTTTAATTTTTCATTATTCAAACTTTTGCACATAGATAATTTCTGGCTTCGAGAATTGATGGTGAGAATTCTTATTATTCGTAAAAAATAATCTTTCATCATTTTTCTTACATTAAAAAAAAATCAATAAAAAAAATTAGGGTTTACACTTTTTTTCTTAGAAGAAATTGAGATTTTTTTTTTTAAAAAAAGTTAAATAAGGATTAGATGTTTTTAATACTTTTAAATCCTAAAAATAAATATGCTATAATTAAAATTATAATCATCGAAATAAAACTTGGATAAAATTAGAAGCTACCTAGACATCTATGTAACTATTAAATGATACTCCCAAATTGTTTTTTTATTGATGCAACCTATTTACCACTTATTATTTCCATTCTAATGGATCCATCACATCTCATTACTTCTTGTACTTGGGTTTTGAAGGAAAATACAAACTAATATAAAAACAAATTTAAGGTCTATTTAAAGTTGGGTTACGTCCAAAAAATAAAATTATTTTTTTAATTTATTTAATATTTAAATGTAATCGTATTAGAAGAAAAGGGAAGTGATAAAAATATGCTTATTTTTTTAATTTTTGTTTTTGCATTTGAATTTTTTCATCTATTTTAACAAAAAAGTGACACACCCCAAAATTACCATCCAATCAAACACCTCCTTAATCTTTTAACTTCTTGCGGGGTGTAATTAAATTTTCAACAACACTCATCCTCAAGGACCATATTGCATCGTACGAATTTTTTGGGGGGAGAAAAGAGAATAAAGAAATTTGTTACGATATTGTTTACATTACCATATATCTTGATAGTATCTTCTAAACATTATCAAGCAAAGGATTCACAAGTATTCATTTATGGTGCTGTTGAATTTTACTAGCTACTTGCTTTCTGTTTTACTAAATCAATTTGTGGGCTGTTTGGTTTACTTTAAAAAAAAAAAAAATTGGGTTAGCCGAGAAATTTCTATTCTCAGGTTTTTAGATGGTTTGATTTTATAACTTAAAAAGTTAAAATTATAGGAAAATTCATTTTTATTTTATTTTTTGTTTTCTTTCAACAATCAAATGGGACAATAATTTTTTTTAAAAAATTTTTACATTTTCTTTTTATTGGATGATCAAATGGAAAGAAAATCAACTTTTTTTTCAAGCAAATATAACAATTCAAAAATTCAAAAAATTTTATCACATATCCAAAAAACCCAAATTAGTTTTTGAAAGAAATAGCCCTTTAATTTACAACAATCAAATTATCATAAATTAATCGCTGTAAAGTATGGTAGTCAAAACCGTAATAAATTTACCACTATAATTTACTGCCATAAATTGTAGTGGTTAATGCGACAATTGGCCTCCACTATTATATTATACCGAATAATATATAGGATTTATTGATTTTTGAAACCGCCATACATGTTAAAAAATGACAACTAAAAATTACTGTATTTTACCAAAATGACTTATGTTATTTATTTATTCATTTTTTTTTGTAGTAAGTAAGCCAAGCTTTGCTGTTTTTGTACTAATTGTGTGTGTAATTTACATATTTTTAAAATAAAAATATAATTTTTATCATGTGATTTTTCTAATAGTTCACTTGATAAATTTGACGTTACAATGAAGGAAAAAATCTTTGTAAAATCTATATCTCATTTCTAGAAAAGCAAAATTTCTAAATAAATTGGCAATATGCTTAATAACATATCTACAAAGGATATCAATATAATATAATTTTATTTTGAGGAATATGGATACAAAATTATATGTTACAATAAAAATTTATTTCACATATATTGGATATGATCAAATGCATTTATATTATAATAAAATTATTACTAATTTAAAAAAATTAATATTTAATTATAAATTATAAATAAAAAAATATACACAAAATTATCGTATATATATATATATATAATTGGTTTAGAATTACGTTGGATTTAAACAAATATTGAAAGAACAGAGCAGACAGGTGTTGCCATACAGGGGCACTCAATATCCACCTTGCAAGATGAGGTGGACTAGAAGACAAAATAATTCTCACCCAACCTAACGTCTGCACAGCCAAAATATGGGCTAGAACGGCAAAACTTCCCCTTGATATTTCTTCTTTTTTATAATTTTAAAAAAAGAAAAATTTCTTTTCCTGTTTACTTTTTTATTTTTATTTTCCAAAAAGACATGTTCTAAGAATTGGAATCAATTAGGTAATACTTTTAAATTTTTCACTCAATTTAGTCCCCTTAAAAATATCTACTACCACCATCAGGGTCTTTTTTTTTGAAACAACAAAATCTTGATGAAGATTTTAAAGATGTATTGGACTTCAAGTGGTTGCAAAACAAGAGAAACATGCGTTGGTCTGTCTCATAAAGAGTAAGAATTGGATAATTTCTTACAAAAATTAAAAAAATAATTTATTTTTTCTTTTTTCACTTTTCTTTTCAAATATTTTTTTTTTATAATTTTAACACGATTTACATATTTGGAAGTCAGTTCAATTCGACATACAAAAAGTCGATATTCACCAAGCTGAGTTCGACTCGGCATATGAAAAGCCGATATTTACTTATATTTATTGAACTGACTTCTCAATTGTTAAGAAATTTGTATATTTTGATAATTAAAAATATTATTAATATAAAATATCTTATTAGTTTTGTAGTATTGCCTTAAAAGATTTATTCCCTCTTCTTTTCTAACCCCTTTTTTTTTTTTTCTTTTCTCTTCAAACAATGGAAAGCCAGCTCGACTCATCATATAAAAAGTGAACTTTTACCGAATTGACTGTTTAGTTGACAAGAAATTAAATATTTTGGTAATTTTTTTAGTTTTATATATTTTGATAATGGAAAAAATTTATTCTCTCATCTTCCTTTTTATGCCTTTTTTCCCTTTTCTCTTCAAACAATCTTTCTAAAATTTCACCAAAACTTACACTCAGGGTAGCCAGTTCGATTGGAAATATAAAAAGTTAATTTTTACTGAAATGACTTTTTATTGACAAGAAATTTAAATATTTTTGATAATTTTTTAATTTTATATATTTTGATAATTAAAAATATTATTGATATAAAAATGTCTTATTAATATTGCAGCATTGCCTTCCAACTAGCATTTCCTCTGAGTGGAAAAAGAACATTGAACTTTTTCAAATGAAAGAATTAGAAATAAATTAGAAATTAATTTGAAGGAAAAGGAGGAAAAGTAGTTTTTTATTTTTTAAAAGATAAAAAAAGGCAATCAAAAGCAAAATGCCTTTTATTTGGAAGGAGATGAATAATGCCAAATATGCCAAGGAATAATGTGGCCAACCCACCCTTGGAATAACAATAAATGAAATGCTTTAATTACCCACTAATGACACGGGAGGAAGAATAAATAAAATATTTAATTAAATATGTGGAATTGAAAATTGGGAAATTGTGATAAGACCCATGAATAAAGAAAAACCATGTGAAAATGAAATGAAATAAAGAGGAAAGAAGGAGGTTGGTTCCTTGCAACGAACGTCTCTCAGGCTCGGGCTCGGATGTAGGTTTGGAGCTAGGTTCGGATTGTGGACTTTCTGAGGATAAGCACGACCCGAAATCTCTACAAGAAGCCCTCCCTTTCTCACCGCCCGCACTTCTAAAGAACCAGAGCCAACCCCACCTTCTCTGTCTAGTTTCTCTCTCTAGAGCTACGCAGGAACGCAGACATTTCTTCTCAGCAAGAAGAACAAGGCAGTGGTCAAGCTGGCGATCGAGAATCAAGAAAGCGCTGTTCGAGAAATCAAGCCTAAGAACAGGCGAATCATGGTAAAACAGACTGTTTCTCGCATTTTCTCTCACTTCCCGGATGTGTTTGAGCCGTTTCTGTTCTGGGTTTTGATGATAGTGCATAGTTTGTTTGCATTTTCCTATTCCTTTTTGCATTCTCTGTCCTTTTTCACTCACTTTCGGACATTGATTTGAGTCGTTTCTGTTTTGGGTTCTGTTAATTTGTTCTGACATTGAGATTGTGTCGAATTTATTGCATTTTCCGATTCTTTCTTTCTCTTTGCGGCACTATTTTCAGCTTTTTTTGCATTTTCTTTTCTTTATATTGATTAACGTCATTCATTTGAGCCGTTTCTGTCCTCGTTTTTTGTTGATTGGTTCGGACATTGAGATTGTGTTGAATTGATTGCATTTTTCCGTTCTCTCTCTCTCTCTCTTAGACATTATTTTGATTAGTTCTAACGCGTTGACTGTGTCATCGGGATCGTGTTTAATGTGCAGGGAGCTGGGGGTCCCGACGACGAGGATAACCGATGGCCGCCTTGGCTGAAGCCGCTGCTCCAGGAGAGCTTTTTCCGGCAATGCAAGCTCCACGCTGACGCTCACCGGAGCGAATGCAATATGTACTGCTTGGACTGCACCAATGGCGCTCTCTTGCTCTATCTGCCTTACCTACCACAAAGACCACCGTGCTATTCAGGTTTGCTTGCTCTCTCTCTCTCTCTCTCTTTCTTTTTATTTCTTATGTTTGTTTGTGGTTCCTGGTTTTAGTCTTCTTTTTTGTCAACTAGCAGCAATTCTCCATTGGTTTCTCTCTCTTCCCGGAAATGAATCCCGGAAAATGCTTTATTTGCTACCTCTTTAACCAGCTCGATGCTTAGATAATCAAGTCCCCCCTGTATCCAATTGATTCAATCTCTATTCCCGGTTTCTTGACATTGTGAACAAGACGAGAGGTCATTGTGCTCTGTTATGCTCTCGCTCTCTCTCTAGTGTTATTTTCGACTCCTGGGTTTCACTGTTTTTGTCAAGTAGAAGCAATTCTCCCTCGGTTTTTCTTCCTTTCCCGGAAAGCAATCACGGAAAATTTCTCTCTCTTGATCCTATTTTACCACTTGGATCCTCAGATTCCCTTTTTCTCTCTCTTGCCTTTGATTCAAATTGCTTCAACTCCTATCCCCGTTTTGCGAGGTCAATGCATTGTATATCTGAATGATTTTTCTTGATTTTGGTGCAGATAAGGAGGTCCTCATACCATGATGTGATCAGGGTGAACGAGATACAGAAGTACCTGGACATTTCCTCGGTTCAGACCTACGTCATCAACAGCGCAAAAGTTGTCTTCCTGAACGAGCGGCCGCAGCCGAGGCCCGGCAAGGGTGTTACCAATACCTGCGAAGTATGCGAGCGCAGCCTCCTCGACTCCTTCCGCTTCTGCTCCCTCGGATGCAAGGTACTCACCCGGGAAAAAAATCCCCAAATTATTTTGGTTCAGATTTGAAGAAAATCCGTACTTGGCTATTGGTTGTGGCCCTAATGGGGGGTAGTTTAGGCCATTACCCTGTGATATACCCACTTCCCATTCTCTTTTCAGGATCTTTTTTTCGCAATTATTTTGATTCAGATTTTAAGAAAATCTGAATTGGGTAATTGGAAATGGGAATGGGAAGCCTTCAAGGGCCAAAAAAATTCCCTTCACTTTTGTGGGTCTTTTTTGCAATTATTTTTGATTCAAAGTTCCCAATTGTTTTGATTCAAATTTGAAGAAAATCTGAAATGGGTTAATGGGTGTTGGCCCTTCAGATTAACATTGGTCTTAAATGTGAAATTTTGGGAGCTTGACATGGCATTTGTTGAACAAGTTTAATCGGCAGCAATGTTTGTCGATGTCCAATCTGATGTGAATTGGAATTCTGGGGCACTGAATTTGGCCTTTGAGCCTGCTGATCAGTCTTCCTGATTTTTGATCGCAGGTGGTCGGAACGTCCAAGAATTTCCAGAAGAAGAGCAAGCACTCGCCTGAGAAGAAGCATCTGACGGGGCCGGCGCCTGTCTCGGACTCCGACGACTCGTACAGCAGCAGCAGCCATGGCCGGCGTAAGAGCAGCAGCAGTCCTAGCTTCACCCCGTCAACGCACCACCAACTATGGTTAATTACAGAACGGCCAAGCGAAGAAAGGGAATTCCCCACAGAGCCCCACTGGGAGCGCTCATCATGCAGTACTAAACCCCCCATTTCATCCGTAATTACTCTCAGGCCCCAGATATACAAGTTAGTAATAAGAAATGCCTTCTACTACTGCTCCCCAGCAATTAGTGCTTTTTGTGAAAAAGGCCTGTGCCGGGGAATAAGTAAAAACTCACCATCATGTACATAACTATAAGGAAGCAGCAAATAGAATAGGATGGAAATAGAAGGGTAAGAAGTGAGAATAAGAAAAAGCTGAAGGTCTGAATGTGAAAAATAATGTGGAAATATATAGGTGGAGTGGTTAAAATCATAAACGTACCTGCATAGCGTAAGTGTTTGTCTGTATGTTGTAGTTTGGGTAAAACTGTAAATACTGTTTCCTAGCAGGGGTTAGTGAGGGAAGCATGATGTATCGACTTTATATATGTGGAAATGAAATTATGGAAATTACTTTTTAGTTTGTATTTTTCCAGGAGTACCCATTTCTAGAAATTTATGACCGGTGCGTGTAAATCCTGGCGGTGGGGCCAGGGGCGGCCGGCACGTTCGACAGGCCAAAAACGTTGGCACTTGTCGAATCGGGACGTGTCGCCTCGTGATTGGTCAGTGGAAAGCCCAGAGTGCGTTTCAATTCTAGGAATTATCAATTAGGTCGTGCGTTTGGCGTTGGAGGGTGGGCGGTTTTTCTTGGTGGAGGGGCTTTCTAGTCCTGTCTCCTGAATGCTTCGTGACCGTCGGATATCTTTTGCTAGCGCGGTGATGACTTGGGAGTTATAAGATAGTTGGGCACGAATTTGTTTTTTAGGCGACCGGTTTTAATTTATTAGAAAATAAATGAATAATTTGCAGAATCTAAATTTGATTTGTCCGTCACAAAATAAAAAAGTACGTTCACGGTGAACTGTTTTTCGATTTGATATTAAAATTTAAATTAAATTAATTTATAAATTTAAAAAAATAATTAAAATAGTTTGTATTTTATTTTAAATTATAATTTATAATTTGTAAAAATAATATAAATAAAATGTACTATTTTTTATAAAAATTTTAACAAAAATTTTTTAAAGTTAAATATTTAATATATTTATTATTTAACAAATACACGGGCAACAAGGTGTATGGATTCATGGATTTTTGTTCATTACATCTCTCAATTGTTACCTAGCCAAACACTAATAGGCTACAATTTTGCAGTGGCATAAGTTTGTCGCGCTCATCAAATCTTACTGAACTTTGGTTTGGATGGGCGTTACTCACGTGACATTAATGCGTTGGATCACGTGCAGCTGCTACGTGGTTTTTGGATCTCTCTGATTATATTTTGATAAATCGGAATATTGAAAGGACAGGGAGGAAACGTGTACTAGTTACGACGAGTGTGGGTTCTGTCTAGAAATTGTAAAAATAAAAATAAGGTAAAATTGCTTCTTGCTCCTCCTTTTTTTCGGAATATGCATTTTGCCCCGTCCTTTTCTCCTTTCAACTAGCAGAGGAATCAGAATAATAAACAGCGTTTTATTTTCTTTTTTTTTACTAAGGTAAAATTAAATTTAGAATGGGAAATTGTGACCATAACACAACAATTAAATATTGACTTTATGGTCATCCAAATCAAATATTAAATATTGCGTGTGAATAGTAGAATATCCTTTTCATGAGTGCTATAAATACTGTGGAAAATTTAATATAAATATCTATCATGGTGCGGAAATAGCAATTCTAGATTGAAACTTGATGTGGTAGCGAAGGACATTAAAAATAAGCGTTCATGTCAGTGATTGGAGGTACGTGCTCTATTTAAATTTTATATTTCTCTAAATATTTAATTAATATATGAATTAGTGGAAGTGAATTTACCATTTTATCCTAAGATCTGTGTCGCAGACAGACCTTTATGTGATTAACAAAATGTAAGTTTAATATTTATTAGAATTTGCCCCTTCAACCAACAAAATCCTAGGCAAGGCCCAGAATGAGTGCCATTCTTGTAATTTTGCCCACCCACCACCCCCTCCTTTCAGCAATTAAATTAACATGGGAAAATAAATGGAGTGAAAAGCAAGAGTTATCCAAAGCTTGTTCATGCATCATCTTCAAAGTTTTTATATATATATTAATTATAATATATATATTGGTAAGGCTTATCTTCAGACGCCACGAGTGGCTATCCCTTGACCTTTTACTTGTCAAGAATGCTGTCCCCGTTACAGAGCCACGTGTCTAAATCAATACTTAATTGAGCACCAAAAGTTAAATCTTGTGTCGGATTAATCCTTATCCTGACAAAGAATTAAAGAAAAAGGTAAAACTATTTCAAAATTTTTATTTTTATAAATTAGTTATTAGATATAAATTCTTCTATAACATGGACCCATTTTCATTTCCCAAAAAAATATTCAATTAAATTTTCTTTTGTCTTTAAACTCCTTGTGTTAGAACTTAGCCAATGGCCCTTGTGGTATCTAATTTTTTTTTTTAATTAAAAACTAGGTTATTAGATTTAATTTCTTTAACCAACATTATGTGGTGTATTTAATTTTAAGTCTTCACCTAGCGAGCAATTCAATGGCTACCTGACATAGACGATGATGTATATGGAAAAAATTTGTATATGTGCCAGATGATCAGTTAGGCTACTTTACAGAATCAAAATCTAATGTTAAATACATTAAATTTGGTGTATTTAATATTAGATATTAACCAGTAAAACAGTTGTACTTAATATTTAATATATATATACAAAATTTGTAATATATATAAATAAATTTATATAGGTGTTAGATACCTAGTAAGCATATCCTATTAAATCAGGACATACTATTAATACATTAGATTAGCTGTATTTAATGTTAGAACACGATGAGTTAGAACATTTCAACTAAATGATTTTTACGTACATAAAAATGTAATATATATGAAAAAAAATTATATGCACGTTAAGTAGTAAGTGAGATAGTTTTATTGAATTATAATTTAATATAAAAATACATTAAATTAAATAAATATAATATTAAGTCATGACCTAACAGTGCAATCTCACTAAATATTTAACACATGTACAAAATTATAATGTACGAGAAAGTTTGTGTGCATGTAGAGGAGAAAGGGTGTTTGAACACTCAACTTGCAGGGCAGGATGATGACTTCATGGCAAATCGAAAGTAGCCTTTAAAGTTACCATAGTTGGGAAAGCGAACCAGCAAAAAAGCTAGCTCAATTAAAAGCATGTTTTGGTTTGACTAGAAAGTGACTTTTGTAGCTAAAAGGAACAAGATAAATGGGAAACTGAACTTTGAATTGGTAACCGAATATTTGCATGTCAAAAGTTAAAACAGATTCCATTTGGCAATCCATCTCAAGGATTCCTTTTCTCTTAATTATGATTTATTTTTAATTAATTATGTGTGATCCTATGATATTGGCAAGTTCTTCTTAGTACTTTGGTTCCCAAGTTATTCACAATTTTGTTCTTAAAAAAAATTTGATTCCGAAGAGATTACTCATTCTGATTGTATTTTCATCGAGCATGCTTGAATTTGAAGCTCCTGGGGAAATTCAATCAATTTTCTATCAAAAAGGACCTATGTGAAATAATTCATAATTTTTGTATTCATAATATAATAACTTTATCTCTGTAAATTCTCTTCCATGTCCACTTGAGAACATTTTCATTCATCCACGCCCCAATTTTTTTTTTCCTTCTTCACTCAGGGATTGACTGTCGTGTGTAACATGGCTTTTTGCTATTCATTATATATTTTAATTTTCTCAATTCTAAACCATGGGTTATTGCAATATTATAGTTCTAAAATTTAGTAAATAAATTAAATTAAATTTTTACCGTTATATCTCCTTTTTATTTTAATTATAAAAGAATTATATATATAGTATTTAATATTATATAGATTTGTATTAAATTATAATATAATATGTACAACAATTTTATCCAAAAAATGGGTAATCATCGGAAAAAAGTATTAACCCATTTAAGTATCAAATTTGCCTAATTACCGGCGGTCAGTTTCTTTGTGGGGAAAGCGCGAGAAAGCAAGACGGTAATTTTCTTCTCCCCGGCGAAGCGCCCAAAGCGCGCCACAAAAACAGGCGATTGCCACGAGCATGCGTGTGACGTGTCCCACGCCAGGCCGACACGTGGCCGAGCGGCCTTTACCGGTTTTTCCGGTCAGAACTTCAATTATTTTTTTCCCCTAATTTTTAATATATTTTTTTCTTGTCCACGCAGCCCAAAATTGTGTGGCGGTCATTGTCCGTCGTCCTCCACTCGTCTCGGTGGCCTTTTCCACCCAGAAGACTGCCACCAGGTGTCGGAACGATATTGGGCAGATTGTTGGCGTTACGCCACCGCATGGCAATGATGGTTGCCTATTTAAATGCTTGTTCGTTTGCACCACCCACAAAGTTCCAGGCAAGTGACGGCGCTGATGGGGAAAAGGACGGAGACACGTGGCGATCGGTGATTTGGCAGCGTAGGGACTTTTGGCCCGAGCTACATAATTTTGGATTATAAAATCTGCGTGAAATATAAGAAGGAATCTTTGAGAGTGTTTGAGACTTTCGGAGGATAAGTGGGTTCGGGTCATTGACCAAAAGGAAAAGCAAACCTCCATTCTTGCAATAGATTTAGGGGAGTGTTTGGATATTCAATAATTTTATTTAGGGTGTATTTGACAAATTTCATTTTTATATTTTCCAATTTACCATTATAAATATTAAATAAGCCATTTTAAATTCATTTGTCTATTTTGTTTTGAGTTTTTTTTGCTAAAAATAATTAATTTTTTTGAATTGTTTTGTGAGAGATAATCAAAATATATCACACTCTAAAATTTAAACAAATTCGTGGGCTAAATTATAAAAAAATCAAACTTTAAGGTCTAGACGAAAAATTTACAAAGCTAAAATAATTCTGATACTAAAATAATTAATTCGGCGGGAGAAAAATAGAACCATCACGTGATATGACGGTTCAAGTATTCAAACTTGACTTCTCCAGCTTCTAGAAATTGCATTCTCTCTGAGCTAAGGGTTTGTTTGGTATCAAAGAAAGGCGAAGTTTCTGGTTATTTTGATTTTTGAAAAGCATATTTTCAATTACAAAGAATGATTTTATAAAATTTTTAGAGATGATCCTAGAAATGAAAAGGCCAAATTTTTTTTTTAAAAAAAGTTCCATTGTCACATTGGAAAATTAACTGTGGTCAAAGTTACTATGATCTCTAAAATAATTGAAACTATACTTTTCTGTTTAATGGCAGCTAAAGTCATAATTAGTCAAGGTTAAAATTGACTTTTTAAGAGAAAATTTGAGGCCAAAAAATGAGAAAAAAATCAACTATTTTTAAACCTTTTCTTCTAAAGAGTTCTATTAAAATTGTAATTCCTATATAAAATATAAAGAAATTGCTAAATGAAGGGCAATTATGGCATTACATAATATTTGGAAAATTTAATTTTAAAAAAAACCTACATGTATAAATTATTAAAAGAATTTTAAAGTTGTGAATTTCTTTAAAAATAAGGTAGTTTAATGACATTTTTAAAGCTTGTGTTGATTGAATTCTGCTATAATGCAAGCCTTCTATTTATTTGAATGTATGCCTAAAATTTTGGACAAAA